GCCGGAACAGAATCATAATAGGTTCGATCGAGAACGACAACGACACGATTCTAGTCCAGCTCAATCTCAACGCTCATATACATCGCCGTCATGATGCTGCTTTACCGCTTCTACTTCAAAGAGATCGTCCACCCGAGTTCGCTCTCGACATCAATGGAGACCAGCACCTTTCTTCCGCGCAGGGACCTCCGATCGCAATGGTGCAACGAGAGGACCGGGATGTCCGTAGAAGACAGGAGCCTCTGAGAGTAGGCTCATATACAGGACATCTGATGCCGCCCGGAGATTACTAATCACCGGTGGCTACACCTATGATTACAGGGTGAGACGAGGCCGTCGACGATCCTCGAATTAGTGTCGGTCATGGAGCTTCGCTTCACCAGGAAAGGATCGAGTTTAGCATGGACCTGAAGCCCAACCAGACATTCGACTTCATCCTCATTGCGGCTGTCAAGGAAGAGACTTACCGTGCCTACTATTGGAGCAATTCCTTGGAATTCGAATCAGTCCGGAGGACTGTTCCATTTGAACACGAAAGGAGACCGTGATTTCTCGTACGCAAGGCTACGGATCGAAGATGATGTACCTCACGTAGATCTTTCTGGATTCGGGGAATTTTATTCATTTCACCTTCCCTCCTCCAGTGACTCCGCTCGATATTTTCTGAGGGAAGCGGACGAATCGAGGAAACAGAATCCGACTACACTTCGTCTTGAGAATCAACACATGTCATGATCGCATCAAGCTTCGCGCATCCCTCAACAAGGCTCATGAAGAAACTCGAGTCGACGCACAGGTAATGAACTAGCATTGTTTCGTTCCCCCGCGTCATTAATTACTTCGCCGCGCCAAGAGGTGTTCAGAGTTAAGGAGGTTTCTTTTCAGGGTGTAGAAACTACTTCCTGAAATCCGACACCGATTTTCGTGTTGCGACGATTCTCTAGACCAAAGGGCAATTTCACACAGGAACTCAGACCGGGGCTTCACCGCTCCTTGCTGCGGAACATTAATTCCGACCTCGTGACTCAATGTTATGATAGAAATGATCCAAAAACACCAATCGATTGCTAGCTTCGTGTATTCAAATTGATCGACCCTCCCTAGTGGATCGCTCATTCCACCTTTTTGCTGATCCCTCGCGGAGTATCGCTGCGATGATAATCTCTCCGATCCCGTCCAAAAGATCGCAAATCCAGTGACTCCGACTTGACAGTCTAGGATCTTCTGGAGACTATCAAAGTTCGAACGACCACCGTCGACATTTCGAGAATACGGCCTCTTAGGTGATGGACGGTGTCACGGTGCGATGCCTCGGCAGCGGTGCCAAGCACTAAAAATAATCGATGTCGCTTTTTATCGCCCTCGTTTCGAAACCATCTGCAGGGTCTCCGTCTCCTCTTCCCAGAGGCTCACAACGGTGCCGCGTCCATCAAGGATCATAGAGCTGGCACAGAAGCCTCGTAGAGAAGCATAGTACCTGATAATTTGCAGGATGTATATTCCGACAGCATGAGAATTCGAAGAATATTCCCTAGTCTGTTGAGGCCTCCACCAGGAAGACCAGATTGATGGAGCGGATTCAGATTCCGATTTCGTACCTGAACATTGTGACAGCAATGATCCGTACGTACCAATTGATCATATTATCAGCTCAAAATTTCGCGTCCAGACTACATGTGCTCAAGGTCGATCCGCAGCCATGACTACTTGCGCTCATGATTGGTGTTCTGAAAACAGGGGCTGGGACTTTTCGATCCGCTCCGCGGCCGAAGCAGAAAGCTATGGGGAGAGTTGACTCAAATACGCACAAACATTTATCTGAAGTCTTCCAGAATTTCCCATCAGAGCCACAAATATTGTTCAAAAATATTCATCGATAGATTCTCCTTCCGGATGTTATGCGACGGGTACTCTGCTCCATGTCAGGAATCTCATGACCAGATACTTCTTTTTCAGGAGCAGTAGAGACTCCGAAGCGCATTCGACGCAAAATCGCATCAAGACCCACTCCTGGACGTAGCCCGTCGAACGTTGCCCGGCTTTGGGCCGAAAACAGTCGGTCGTCCACGGTGACTGTGCGCTTTTTCGAATCCAGCGAAGATGATGAGAGCAATTGGAATCGACCAGGTTGCTCCGTAACGATCGAAGAATCACCGAATTCGTTCTCACGGGTCGTAAGCCGAAAATTTGCAGTACAGGTTCCGAGGAAGCGAAGTGGATCCCTGTGCCAGGGAATCGCGGGACCAGATCCTTGGACGGCGAATCGCTGGTCCCAACTCCCAACGACCGGAAACCACGGGAGCAAAGATGACGCTTGCGGAAAGAATGAACTTGATTCATCTTCATTCGAGTAGATGTTTCGATACGCGATTCTGAGGGATGAGGAGTGGAGAGGACACAATCGGTACGGCTGTAGGTCGTTCGCGTACACGATACGTAATATACCTATATACGCGATGAAGCGGCAGCTTTCCGATTCAAAATATCATAGGGAAACCGGATCGGAAGTTCTCCTCTCACTTCGATAAAGTGAAAAACGAAGCTCACCCCGCATCGCGTGGTGACTGGTCCGAGATTGCGCATCTATGCTGATTCATGAGTCAGCGACGAGTCACCATGTGAGCCCAGGAATTGGTCGTGTGAAACTCTTGGCCAGTACGCAGATTCCAGGCTTTTGAGGTCCATATGATATTGACCGACTCTGCTCGGACTGGATCACAGAAGACATTTCATTTTTTTCCTCTCCCCCTGATATCGAAAACCCAGGAAGGTCTTCCCGTAATTTGCAACCCAGGACCTTCTGTAATCGTTGGCAATGCTTCCCGATGAGCCTATCAGCTCCCCGGAATTCGACTCAAGACTCTACTCAGGCGATTATAGGGTCGTGCTAATGCTCTCAGACAATCGAGAAAAGTGAGTCGCTTTCGTCCACTTGTGACATGAAAGAACGCTGCGATCCTCGCAACGCCTTTCACATGCAGCTAATTCCAGATGCTATCGCTATATCCATATCCTGGTCGTGCTGCTCGTGCTCAGCTTAGCTTTCGTGGCGCTGGTGCACCGATCGGACCCCTCGGGGAGCTCCGACGCACACTTGGAAGAGACAGGTTACACCGTGAGGGTAGATACTGAAGCGAGAAAGATGACGCATTGGTGTCACGATAGGGGCGGACTTCTAAGCTCTTCCGAGATATATGGTTTGCGTCAAGTTATTTACGCGACTGATGAAGCCGCATCCAGATTACTTCGAAGTGGTGCCTACAGCTACCAGTATACGGTACAATGAGGTTCCCGAAATATTCTTTAGCTGAGCTCGGCACTCTCATCGGATCGCCAATCTCAACTAACCAATCGGATGTCAGCTAGAAGTAGGTTTCGAGCTCACCCTGAAGAACCGTGAAATATTCGACCTAATTTTGATCGTGGCCACTCGGAAGTCGGAATATCAGGCCTTCTTGTGGAGCAATTATGACGACTTCTATTCAATGCGATTAGAGCAAAACATTGTCACGCCGAGGGGAGAAGGAGCTGGAATGAACATGTACGCAAAATCCATTATTTTCTCCGCTAAACGATTCATGCATCTGACTCAGCTTCGATCATATCCCCCGATGAAACTGCTTCGATCATCTCTACAAATGTGTGTCGAGATGGATGAAATAGTCTATGTTCCAATTCCGGTCATTTACGATATGATCCCGATTGTCTCGCTCATTCCCTAGAATCAGTGCAAGGGAAATTTTGGAGAAGATCAGAGAAAATCGAACCGCGAGGCCTAGCCGGAACCCAGCTGATTATGCTCAATTCTCGCCATTCTCGCTGACAGCAGCGATTCTGCGCGATCGTCTGTACATGAGGAGCTCAGTCAACGGCAGTTCATGCGAGACTCACCACGAATACGCAGTAATGAACGAATCCCTGATCGGAGTCTCTTACCCCTCATTCTCTCAAGGAATATCAGCAGAGCTATCATTCAAGCACATACTTTCCAGGGTTTGAAGACATCATTCCAAAATCCGATACCGATCTATCTGATGTTCAGGAGGCGGGGCATTCTAGTCGAACCGCCGAGCGGCTTCAGAATCGATGTCCATTGTGGATTGCTTCGCGTGTATACGGAATCCTTCCATGTCGACCAGTGCTACCTCGAGGATAAGCCGAAGGTTGCTGTAGACTGCTGACATTGTCGGTATGACTGTCGAATAGTCGACGTTCATGAGACGCTTCAGAACTTCAAGACCTGCATCCCAATCACCGGTGTTTTCCGGGGACAGAAGCAAGATCGCGGGCGACTCGCGCAGAGAATGTTTCCATGTCGCCCACGGCAACGGAGGGGTGTGAAAAGAGGCAGGATTCTCAGATGGAAGATATTTCTAATTGATGGAAAGCGATGTGCCTAATGGTTCAATACCCAGATCCTCGCCCTGGAAGAGAGTGCTGAAGCCTCTTCAACTGTTTCTCCTCCATCGTGGAGAAGAATGAGGGTCAGCCGACGACATGGGTACCTGACTCGATCATCGTAAATAAAGGCTTAGACCAGGGGTGCGTGGTGCATAGCTTCGGGGGTCTTGAGGACCATCCTCCCAATCCAAACACGTATGGCGGGCCGAAAGCATTATTGACGATCCGTTTGAGCGGTAGTCGGCATTCCCGCGAATTTCAGGATAGAAGTCGCGGGCCGCCTGGAGGCACGCCGAGGACGCGCTTCGTGCTACATACATATATGTATTCTGCTGCGTGGTAACTCGCCAAATTGTATCGATGAATCATGCTTGGGACCTATGCTCGCCGATGAGCGAGCAACGATCGTATTCTATCAGCGATCGAATTTCGCCCGAACTTTTAACTAGCTGATATCTATCAGAAGGACTCCGCCCCCTCGTGACGGCAGAATGAACCATGTTCGATGAGATGAACCGCCGGGAATTAAGAGCTTTTCGAGTATTGGATTACGAACCATGATTCCGCGCAGCCGTAAAGCCAGCAATGGAAAAAGGCAGACAATCCACAACCGCAAACTACGTCGGTGCTTCCAAGTGAGCGCTTAAGATATTACGAGTGCTCGATCTCGCAAGAGCTACTTGACAGCCAGTCTGACCTCAGCGGGTCGGGTGGACTTCCTCGAAACTTTCCGTAAGCTACAGTCGGGAAGATGCTCGAAGCTTTCCGGATACTCTTCATTCTCATCTTGGGTAGGTTACTCCGCAGCAGGTGATGTCCAGGAGCGATGACGACTCCGTCTGCCGGTCATCTTGCGAGGGGACGATCTCAGACAGAGCTGATGAACTGACCCCACATCTCTTCCGTTTCTAGCATGGCCCGCAGATGTCGAATGTATCGAGGTAAATGTGGTCATCACGCCGGGAGACTTACGGTCTGGAGCGAGCGGCCACATCCGCGAGATAGGACTCTTCATTCATGGTCTCTCGGAGGACCAGATCGTCCGGACGAACGTTGAAATTTTCGAAGATCCGTCGCGGACTAAGCTTTCGACTGCTTTTCCTCTTGCGAGCAAGATTGCCGAGAGACTCGAAGGGTCTGTCAGAGTGCTCAGTGGACTTAGCCTGAAGCCAGTGAGTCACCATGCGTCTGGTCCAGTCAGGCATTGCGCCGATCCGTGCGAAGAGCATCTTTTGTCATGTAGAGCTTTGCCCTGACATTGATCCTGGGTTTCAGCCAGCAGTCGCGGGGGCGTTAAAATTCCTCTTCTTCGGTTCCCGGGTCCTTGGGGGTTTCCTCTTCTTCTGCCCTCATATATTCATCTCCCTTGTAGTTCAACTTCAGACGGGACGCAGCTCTTTCGGGGTGTCTAGGTTTCTACGTAGATGTCTCATTGGAGACAAATGATTCATCGTCTAATCTGGCGTCGAACTGTCTCAGAGTCCACACGCACTGGATGGAAGAGCAAGTTGACGAAATCGGTCAGTCAGAGTGGCATAGTCTCTAAATCGAGCTGGAAGATTTGATTTCGGGTATCCCCGAATAGGAGATCCTCTCTCATAGCCATGCCTAGAGAGTCTGCCCCATAATATTACTGTTTCAGGATCCTTACCTTTCGTGAGCGTGTCCTTCCCCGGTACCCACGACGCTGGTTCCTACAAGAGAGCTGATCTGGTGAAAACATTCTTGGATTACTACTTCTACTCCCAAGAGGAAGACATTTTCAGCCAACTGATGCTTGGCGCGAGATTTTTCGATCTGCGCATAGGCTTCACTCCCGATCAGGGTGAAAATCGTATGATTCCCAATGAATTAGTACCACGTAGTAGATTCTGGTAGTCCCACCTAGGCACTCCGAAAGGAACGGCCTTTCAAAACCTTTGATGATCATTATGATGTGTTCTTTCGGTCTTGAGTCGGCTCCTCGGCAAGGTTTCCACCGCAAAGGTCTGCCGCCGCGCTAATGCCACTGCCTACGCCGCGCCGTCTCCGTCCTTTTAAGCTTCAGATTGGTTCCACATCGTTCATTCGTACTTCATCACGTCAAACAGAGTCAAAACTGTATTCGAGGACGTCAGAGACTTCTTGAAGCTCTATCCAAACGAAATAGTTCTGCTGGATATGCATCGGTTTCCCGTGGGAAATTGGGATGATGAAACATTCACGCTCTTCGCTGAACTCATTGAAACAGAACTCGGTATGCATCTCGGCTCTTTTCGGTCGGAAGTTGATACTCACGCCGAACCCAGTCTGAGAAACAAGATACAATCTCTCCTCACCATTGAATTTCCGTGAGCGAAGGTTCCCCTTTTCGTTCGAAGACTCGAGTGACCTTCCTCAGTTCCATTACCTCTAGGACCTTGGATAATTCGCGTCGATCCCTCGGTGAGAAGCCTCGAGGAGGTCCTAGCAACCGGACGTCGCGTGCTCATCACTTGCAATGACGACTCCTTCCTATCTGATCTGTGAGTTCTCCATACACATCTCCAAGCTTCTGCGCGTCTTCGCCGAGGTATGGCACATATGTATATTCATTAGCGTACCCAATGGAATCCGCTACGTCGCCGGCGTCGCGAGACTGGTGGCGTGCTTTCGATTCCTAGTGCCGGTATCTTCTCTCAGAATTCCCTCGCGGAACAGCAGGCTTGAGGAATCATTTCACAGGTATTTCAAGGGTGTGGTGAATGTTTGGGCCAATACCGACGAGGTCACCCAGCTCCATCAATATTTCGAAGGAAATCTACCTCGGCATTTCCGAGGAAACCGGCTCTACTCGGCAATGGCGGAGTTGACCCCGCAAGGTGAACTCCCTGCTTCGAAAGTCACGAATGAACACTGATCTTGGGAAAACACAATGATTAGAGCATGAGGTCTGCTGCTTTCAGGGATTCTGCCATTCATATTCGATACCTACGGCGGGGGTCTTCGCGGCATGGCAGATAGGCACAACTTCGAAACGATGCTGTGGTTCAGGCACGATCGCGATCTGCGTTCAAACACGACGATCATCGCGATGGATTTCTTCGCGAGCACCGACATCGTCGAGATTTCCAAGCGTATCAATCTTGAGAGAGCGAAGGCTCAACTGACCGGAAGAGCACGCGGAGCCGTGTAGAATAATTCGGTCAGGAGCTATGATAAGATTCCCTAGCAAGAAGTAGTGGGCGCCCAAGGCTCGATGCGGAAGCCGTCGTGGCGCTCGATCGCGTTTGTGAAGGACTCCGTCCATTGTTTATTCCGGGCCGTGAAGTATATAAATATCCACTTTCATGAGGAATACCGAGACCGAATCGAAATTGACTCGTGAGAGCTCGCTGCTCGCAAGAGTTGCTTGTCCGTTCTTCGACATCTCGCTGCTCGTGATCGAGTGAGTAGAAGGCACATAAATCCTTAGAGCTCGGAACTTCAGGCAATAAGAAATGCAGAAAAGAGCAGCCAAAAAGCATTGAAAAAACTTGGAATAGGCACCAAAAGTAGGCTCAATGGGCATGATAGGCAGGGCAAACGCCGCATCAAAGCGTTCGTCAGTGCCGTTTCATGAGGAACTTGCGTAGTATTCCGGTGTATCACTCACTTAGTAACCGATACCGGTTCGATAGCAGCAATTCAGATCATCGAAAAAAATGACATTCAAGCGCACCATTGGATTCTATCGGAAGCTCGATGTGCTCGTGAATCATGGGATCGCCGGCTCTATCCATCGCCGAATCTCTTCTTAGACCCAGAACTCCCCCAGGCAATCCGGGAATCAGCGTCTCGGTGCTTCCAGGGGGCTCTTCAGGCACCGAAAACCTGAATAGGCACCCCCGATCGATACGCGTCGAAAAATGCTGCCATAGGCTTATTCCGCAGGATGCCTGAACTTCCGAGCTCTAAAGATCATCTATCATGATAGAGCATGCCGAACACGCTTTCTTCAGCTTAGTAAAATGGAATGCAGAGAGATTTTGCGGGCGGGGGGCTTAGCTGTAGATAGACTCCCGAGCTCTTCCTGGAGCGAAGGAAGTAGTACGGCTTACGATTCCAACGCTACTCGTTCGGATCACTCGCCCATACGGATCGCCATATGAATACTCGTTGAAGGAGAAATCGTGTAAGAGGATAAACGACCCTCCAGGGAGTATATTCATTGATATATTGATTCCAAGTTCTGCTTCTGAAGAGAATAGCTAAAACAAAAGCAAGGACAAGGGAAACTCCTCTCGTATGGCTTCTTCGGCATGTGGACTCGCGATCTTCGGAGGCTGATCCGATACCGCGATCCTAAGTTTATATCACAGCAAAGAGATGGTAATGATAATTCGTCACAGGTCGAGTACAACTCGATGAGTCATGAAACTTCTCATGCTCCGTGCAATCTTATTCAACTTCGCTGTCATTCTGGTCTGTTCCATCGAAGGAACGTCAGGTCAGACAGTCGGTGAGTCTGCCTCCGAGTCGGGTACGATGATCTCGAGTCAATGACAGTCATGAGGGATGGACCGCATTCGCTCTTTCATAGCGGCCTATAATCTGGATATCTAGCCCAAGACCTCGATTTCAGGTGAAAATTCCGCTATAGAGGGTGAGAAAACCAATTATACGGCACCGACGGCGACACGTATTCTCAGATCCACAGTTTTGGCTCGAGGGAGCCACTGAGGAACATGCTAATGCATTTCAGTGCCATCATCAAGCAGCTCCATCTTCTCACCCGTGTCCATGCTCTGTGAGTGAAAATTGAGCTCCATGAGCCGGAGTCATAGAAGCTACGAGGCAAGAGGGAAGCGTGGCCATGAATTAGGGATTTACACTTCTGCGCTGGGATAATGAATCGCCTTCGAAACTTTCCAGTCGAGGATGTGAATCGGATGATGCAGGATTCCGTGAGACAAATCGGGCTCCGTCTTTGGAGACTTCGTTGATAATAATGAATAAATCCTCTGCATGAATGCATGAGCCTCAACACCAAAAGTGAGCAGAGTGCCAGACTTGATCCTTAATCTCGCCTCCGCGCGAAGAGCATCGCAGAGAATCCATTCCAAGATCGTCATCGCGGCGGAACGTCGAATCACCCATTCTTATGGGGGCATATATCAAGGTCTTCTGGTTTTGTCCGTATCGCTGGTTTTCGCTCACGATCCTCTCCAATAGGATCGGTGTCGGACCAAGACGCTCGTCGATTTCGTCTATCAAGGTGACCGGAACCGGCAATCCAAAGGCCTGCGCAGGCGATGTGTAATACTCAAATTATAGCGGTCGGAGACATCGTGATTCCCCCATGATGTGAGCTCAGATAGAGTTTCCCGGATCTGGGTTCTCTCGGATTCATCTCCATCTTCCGATTTTCCGTAGAGTTCTGAAGAGCCACCATTGTCATCCCAAGCCGAGCTCCCAGATGAACGGTTGGATCGGTATGACTAGGTTGCTTTGGAAGTTAGCGTATGGCCAGGTTCCACGCCTGTCACTCGGCCCGGACATGTCCCGATCGGTGACAGCAGTCAGATCAAGTCTGGAAATTTTGCGGAACAAGCGACGTATTCAATCCGATGAGCCGAGCGAGCGCCCCGAGCGACAGTCAATTACGAGAGTGACGTTGAAAACCAAACGTATAAAAGCCAGCCTAACCCGCCCAGTATCCGACTCAACATTCCTATTTAGACCAAAGATGAAGTCTCCCCTTCTCTTGCTGTTCGTGACGTGCCTCTGGGTGTCGGTGGTCTACGCTCAAAACGGGACTTCTGAGAACAATGACCTCATGAACGGAATCTTCGACAGGCTCAGGGATTTCTTCCGGAAACTCATGGGAGACCTCCGGGATCTTTTCATCGGCGGACGCTCCCCGAACCGCTGATCCTAGATTGGAATAAAGCAATCGAACTTGCTGATGGATCCCCGTGGTTCTCAATCGCTTGTGTCATTCTGGTTAGTGTTGGGATCTGGATTGCCTTGACGGGGATCCCAGGCTGCCCGAGTCCTTCGACACTGCCCCGTAGAATGTCCCCGGAAGGAATTCACATACTGGCTGTGGAAATCGGGGTTAAAGGCAAGAGAACCCGATGCCGGCCACACATCGCACCGAAGGCTCGCTGTCGAAGGGGGAATCAGGGATCTTAAACTCGCGAGAGAGACCCTCTGAGATCTGAGGGGGTCCCCCGAGGAGTGTGACCTTCTGAGGATGACTCTAGGCGGGAGTAAGCTCCGTGCCGAGTACGAAGATCGGAGCCTTCTTGGGTTCTCTTCAGGAGCGCAGCGATCCGTTCTCCGCGCGATCCGCATCCCCGAATCCGCACTCGTCAGCGAAACATGATCAGCTATACTTTCGGCGAGTCTTCCATCGCAACAAGTTGACGAGGCTGAGGCCAGGAAATATCCGCTGATCGGGCAAACCGCATCGGAACGCTCATTTCCGCTCAAGAGCTCATTTCATCAATCCTAGGAACGTGGATGATAGAGACCGCAAGTACGTGGCGGGAACGGAATTCGTAGGAACTTCGCAAGATTACTCGATAGGAGTCTGGAGCGATTGAGCAGATGTGTATCGAATTCCAGGTCTGACATCGGATGTTATCCCGAGCATATTACTATCAGTGCATCTCCTACACCATACTCGGTAACAGCTGGCGTCACGCGGATAATCGAATTAGTCCATCTTTCCAAAGCAGGTTTCTCTCGCTGACGTCATACAGATCATGCAGATGCTTCTGTATGTGCAGGGACACGGCCTCCACCGCAATAACTCCCATTTCCTTCTTGAGAAGAAGCAATCTCATGCGTCGCAAAGTATCCCGGACCGCTTCCCTCTACATTAGAGTTAGCACCGCTGAGGCTTCTGGCATGCCTTGCTTCTCTGTCGGTAACCTGAATCTCAATCAGTGAAAATCTAACGTGATGCCGAGCGGGATGTTTACGCTATGCTTCTGATCCCGACAGTTGGTGACAGTCAAGAACGCCAAGTGGTGCGTCAGCAGAAGCTCGACCCCTGGGAAGTCGCTTTCAGTTCTACAGGACTCGAGTGCTTCTCTTCAGCTCCTCATCATACGTGATATGGTTCTGATGAGGCTCTATTCATTCCTGGTGATATGTTTCTGATGAGGTTGATCCGACGAGCAAACCCCTGAAGGACAGTGGAGTCCCGATTATTCGCATCATCGATGATGCGCAAGACCCAATGATTCCCGATTGGCGGATAAGTTCTGAAGATTCGGGTAATTCGCCCACGTGCTCTATAGTCGAGGGATTCAATAATCTGTCGGATTCCGGAGTTCCGTGAGTCGTGACGGGAATCCTTCCTCAATACGCATCTGCTGCATAAATCTGGGATTGAGCTTCTCCTTCCCTCGGGGATACGGGATTTAATAGTGCAAATCACTTAGCATTTATTCAGTATATATGTATGCATCACTCCCAAATTACCCGG